TCATCATGTCTTACGCCGTGGTCCTCATACAGACCACTCAATAGTGATTGTAATATAAAACACAATTACAAACATATAGTTTAATAATAACTTAAAGTTAAAATTCTGTATTAAAAGCATTTTATTTGTAAGGCATGGAATTAAATGATTTTCATATACAGAGTACTACAATAGTGATTAAATGCATTGAAAATTTATAAGTTTTGCCAACTTTTGAACAGACTCTTCAATCGCCGGTGTTTTCTTTAATCGCTTATAAATCTTAAGACACTGAATGTGTGGTAAATGTGTGCGAATGGAGTCAAAGAATGTCTCATTTAATACACAATTAGGCAAATCGAGTGACAAATGTGTCAATCGTTTCAATGGTGACAACGATTTCGATGACAACTCAATGCAATCCGTTTCACATGAAATGCAAACTCCAGTCTTTGCAAGCGTTTCATACGACCCATTGATTCACACAATTGTCTCACTTTTTGTGCACCAGTTATATACCACATCTTCAGTCGATATCTCTCGAGTTGTGGCCATTGATCGACAAACTCTTGGCAGTGATAGTCAACCACAGTCTCGATGATAGTATGCGTTTTCATAAACAATATAAGTCTCAATTCTCGCAATGCTTTCAATTGTGTTCATTGTCTCAATACATCGATACATCGCTTTTCATCTGCCGTTACCGTTAACTCTAAACCCAATGTAAGAGACTTTAAGCTGTTCTTATAGTAATCAACAAATGCTTGCAATTTATTATCGTCTATAGAATTAAAGCAAAAAATGTTAATTTTATGCAAATTCGCAATAATTATATCATTATTTTGATCGACAACTGCGGCTAATGTTTGGAGAAAAACGGATATTTGTCTCCGTTTTGTGTAGGAATTTCAATGCTTTCTAAACACTTCATAACCCGATGGCGGCACTGATATAGCCGTCAATTGTGAGCCATATTTACACACAATTCTGTCCATTATTTTCACATCAGTTTTATAGTGAAATCTGACATCAATTGCATTCAATGAGTGTTTGCATGAATTCATGAGTACTTCAAACAGTATTGCCGTCTCCTGTGAATCGATAGTCATATCAATGGATCTAATGTTTGAGCACTTCTTAAGCTGTGCTCTCAATGTCTCCCAATCAACGCATCCCTCTCTTAAGCCCTCTTTAATCGACAATTTGTTTATCAATTGATCGTTGAATTCAAGGGAATGTCTTGAAGTGAATACACATCTCATCCACTGTTTGGACAGACATTCAAATCGGAAACAGTCTTCGAGTGATAGATAAGACAACACGAGTCCACACAAGTCATCCCCATATCTGTCGAACGAGTCTTTCGTATAATATTCCTCTGGAGTGCCATTCGTGTCATTCAAAGACATCTGCGAATAAATATTAACACAAAGTAATGAATACTTTTAATTAAAATGACATAAAAAGTTAAGTCTTTTACAAACCTTTTGCATGAATTGATGGCTCGTATAGTCTTCTCCTTCCTCTTCATCCATGTCTTGATTAACAGCCAAACAGACAATGAATTCGCGGATCAAATGAAACCTCAAACCAAACAATGGTTTGAAATGTTGACACAATTTGTGACAAATTTCGACTCAAATCTAAAAACTGTTTGTTTTGCGAAACAAAGCATTCAATGACTCTATGAATACTGAATACTGTGTGCCATCTGTTGGTAACCAATGCTTACAAAAACACTATAAATTCAATAAAACAGAATATTCTGTGAAAATGAATATTAAATCAAAAAATGTTAATTACAAGAGAAAGTGAATTTAATATATGAATGCAGTATAAGAATTACATAACTTATAACCAAAACAAAAATCAATTATCAGTTATTACATCAATAGTACAAAATTAAATATAATATGTTTTCTAATTGTAATAAAGTTTAGATATGTTAAACAATTTTGAAATTTTTTTAATAATAGATCACGTTTTCTATTAAATTAAGCTCGTACTGTACAAACAAAGTTTAACACGGAATTTATTTACAGAATGTAGAATTTTCAACATCAACCTGGACATTATTATTGCTTAATTAATTTATTTGACAGGTAATTTACAAATTATGAACATTTTCTTTACGTTTTGTTTGACTTTTACATTATAATAAAAATTAATTTTCTGATGAATATATTGATAGCATTTGTGAATAACATTGGATAGCATTATAATAGAGAATCCAAACCATAGGCTAACATAGGATGCAATGTATGACACAAACTCTTCAAACAGTATTTTAGGCAAATGTGTGAACAGTATATCCGGTGTATTGGCCGGTATGACCACCACATAGAAAGCATCGGACTCTACGGACAGTTTGTTTACAGTGAGGGCATAGACTTCTTTATGGCATTCCGGTCTCATTCCACACAATTGTATGCAATGTTTAGCCAAAGTATGGTCTGAATTGGGATTTAGTTTATAGTATTCATNCGGGCCATAAGTCTGTGATATTATCATTGAATGTCTTAATCCGACATTTAGTGATACAATCTGAAAGTGATTTGTAACCCATTTCCCGGTAATCATAACAGTTTGTGTGATAGGGTTTAGGCAACGATTTTGTCACATATTTCTTATATTCAATGAAATAATCCGTGACTTTCTTGTTATCCATTCTTATGGGATATTCAATGAGTTTTGATTTATAAGGATCATCAATGAGTTGATCCCTGGGATGGACAGCCACACGGGCTTTAGGCCTATTGTTGAGTATGATTTCCGCAAAAAATAAATCATTGTAAAAGTCGTCGAAAGGCATGTGATTATTAATGTGTAGAGATTTATGGGGATCTCCATCCAAATGAGACAAAAATGTGAAACAAATGCTAAAATATATTAGAAAATAAATTTATTAATGATTTTATAAGATAAATTAGCATGATATCATATTACTCATAATAACTGATTGATTGTCTAATTTCACTGATTTTATGGCATTCAATATAAAAATTGTCGAAATCATTGACAGAATTGGCTTCAATTTCTATAGGCTTTGCCACAAAGCAATCATTGAATATCTGGTTATAAGTGTAAAACAAATCAAACTGTTGTTTAATCGTATAATGGCTGCAAAACGTTCCCACTTTCTCTTCGTAGTCATATCTTTCGCTTTCATTATAATCGGTTGTAATATTGAGTTGTTGTAAATACTTATCCCTTAAAACATCTAATTTAAAGAAACATATTGTGATTGCCGGCAGAGTTATGTTGAAGATGTTGTCGTAGTTAACAGTTGTTGTGGTTTTATATGAGAAATATATTTCACATATTGTGTAGATTTGGTACAAACACAATGTCAGACATAATATGAAAAAGATTTTGTGAAATAACTTCTTAAACAAGATTGACATAATTTAATTTACGTAAATTTTTGTATTAATTTGTACATCATTATAATTTTAATAAAATTGGAGTGGACTTAGTTACGATACTAAGTCCACTTCAAAATGACTAATAATAACTAAAAATGTAATCTCATATTCTTTTATTATTATAAAAACTTATTCTTTACTTAATTAATCAATAAGACAACAAACAAACAAAATATTAAAATTGCATAATAAAGTACAATGTACAGTAATATCGATTTAAAATGTTTTATTATCACTATTATACTATAATAATATTTATACCGTACATTATAATAACAATTAAATATAACATAGAGCATCTACAAATAAGGTCATTTTAAAATTCTATTCAATTAACTACCATATACCAATCCAATAATATTAAATAATTTATACTTGAAGCAATATATGAATTATTTTTTACATGATACATAAATATTTAACATTATTCATTATTATATTTGCCATCACTGTTCTGTACAGTATAGTTTACATGGTACAGTATATAATACTTTCAACATTTTGTTAATTGATTTCGTTATGTTCACTTATTATTATTGTACTAGTTGTGCAAGGCATATTTTATGAATCATCTCAAAAATAATGATGACACACATATCTAATTTATAGTCCCCGTCTCTGGCCGATAACTTTACTAATATTAAATATAATAAGATAATACACAAACTAAAAACAATATTAATAATAATAGAAAATCAATAATAAAGCTAGATATTATTAGAAACAGCGGATTATTATATATATATTTAATTAAATACTTTAAAATTATATTATGCAACCGTTGTATACTGTAATTATAATCCACATTTATTAATTCACCAATAGAGAATGTCTCATTAAGAATAGGTTTTTATATGTGGCATATATTGTACAATAATATGTATATAATATGTTATATTTGAAAAATTATAATTATTTCTTGTATATTTATAGTAATCAAATGTTATGTATAAATACATATCAATTATAAAGCAAAAATAATAATCTAATAGATTTGTATCTTTTAGATTTGATAAGTTCTCAAGTTGCTAGCTATGAACGATTTTGCCTAAGTTTTAATAAATATTATTAATCTATTATGTAAGGTTTAAAAATATTTACCAAGATATTATATTAGAGGAAAATACACCTAAGATAATTAAGATTATTCAATGATCAATAGTCTTAAAAATATAAAAAATTAGGTGTGATTTGTTAGCAAAACATATTCTGATAACCTGGTGCCTTTTTATTAATTGAATATTGATTTGATTGTTAATAGTTAGTAAGTTAACTATTGTTGCCCTATATACAATTTATGGTTTCAGTTGAATACCATGTACTAAAGTATTGATAAAAATAGCTAACGTTACTATGGTTGTCCCTAGCTCATATATAATATTATAAGTTCAAAGGACATTTGTTATAATAACATAAATTATAATAAATATAATTTTAAAATCCCACCATGCGTTTAATTACTAATTTGGTGAATGTTAAATTTATTCTTGAATTAATTCATGTATTTTTGTCAAAAATATTGTTATTTATTAATCAATTTATAAGAAAAGTCATGGAAATTGTCAAGAAAACGTATGCCATTATAAATACACAAATTAAAGATAAATTCCTATTTTAATTTTGTTTACAACTCAAGTGAATTTAGATAATTAATTATATAATTATACTATAGTTATCATTAATGACATGTAATTACAGGGACACACAAAATAAAGACAAAAGTTGTATGAATTGGTCGTCAATTTTAGGGCTATTCTTCAGGCGAACTCACATCGGAATCATAAATATCGTGAGATTCTCAATAATCATCATCTGATTCACTGCTGTCACCAAAGGGTATAGGATATGGTGTCTGGACATCAAAGCATCGAAGTTTCGGTAACTTTTGCATCCATTCCTCAACCCTCGGAGACATCTCTAATCTACTCACGAGTTTCAATGACTGAAGTCGTGGCAAATGTGTGTCAATTGAGTCAAAGAAACACTCGCTTATCATAAGAAAAGGCAAATCTAGTGACAAATATGTCAAACGTTTGCATTGAGACAATGACCTGGCATTCAAGTGAAGCCTACAATTATTTGAATCATAATATGACTCAAACTTTAATCTCAGTTCTCGTAATCGTGTCAAACATTTCATGGATTCATAGATTTGTCGCAATTTTCTCTTTTCAAACCGACATATAGTTAACTCAAATCTCTTTAATAGTTTGCAATCAATGGCTATCTGTTTGAGACAATCGGTGAACGACTCGTTAATCACAAACTTTCCGCCAATTGAATCAATCCGAAGGCTAATTGTATTGAAAACTTTGAGTTTTGGCAAAACGTGTAACACATCCTCAATACCCTTTCCGTTCAATTTACACAAAATCATTGCAATAGACTTCAGACAATTGGTGTAGTGATCCGTAAATAGTGTGAAAGCATTCAAATTATAGGACGAATACACGAACGAGAATTGAGTCAAACTTTTATACAATATATCATTGCTTTCGCCGAAAACACTCCACAATCCGTCTTCGCTGTCATCGAAACACAATGTCTTGAGATTATGGCACGACTTATGACACCATTTGTTGAAGTTATAGCTGTAATCCTTGAATACTAAAGAAGTCACTCGTGAGCCATATTGAGGCAGAATTGTGTCCAGAATCTCGTCATCCATTGATACAAACGTTATGTGAATTGCATTCAAATGTTTCATTAATTTCATGAGTCTTTCAAACAGTATTACAGAGAGATATGGTTTCTCGCAGCCCATAGTCATGTCAATGGATCTAATGTTTGGTAACTTCTTCAGCAGTGGTTCCAATGCTTTCCAAATAACTCTTCCACTCGTTGTCTGTTTTATCGACAAATTGTCAATTTGTTTGTCATTCACTTCCAGTGAATGTCTTGTTGTGAACACCGATCGCTTCCACTGTTTGGACAGACATTCAAATCGGAAACAGTCTTTGAGTGACAGATAAGACAATATCTCTTGCATTAAGTCATCACCGAATCTGTCGATCGAGTTCTTCGCATAACATTCCTCTTCAGTGCCTTTCATTGCATTCAACGACACCTTTGACTACAAAATATATAAACAATTAATGAATACTTTTGTTTGAATTGTCATCAAAAGTGATGTCTTTTGCAAACCTTTTTCTCCAACGGATGGCAAGTATTGTCTTCTTCTTCTGGATTCATGTCTTCGGTTAGCAAACAAACAGACAATGAATTCGCGGATCAAATGAAACCTCAAACCAAACAATGCTTTGAAATGTTGACACAATTTGCGACTAATTTTGACTCAAATCTAAAAACTGTTTGTTTTGCGAAACAAAGCATTCAATGATTCATTGAATCGACAGTTCAATGACTAGTGCTCTACACGCGGATGACATACAGTATGTCATGACATGACCGAACATATTGCAAATCTGTCCTTCCGTCCAGTTTTCAACACTTAATTAATTTTATTTAATTAATTATAATTTATATTAAACTAATCTCTTCGATAACATAACTAAGTTGATGTATACTATAGAATAAAAATTTAAAACTCGGTCAAATATTCATAGATTTAATTTATTTTAAGAAAATGGTCGCTAAACTCGCGTCCTTTCGCGTCATTTGTACGGATAATACGTATATAAATTCGAATTGAAAGACACGTCCCTTATGTCATACATTAAAGTTCGTGTATTTCTATAAATAATAACGAATTAAATGTTTGAAATGCTTTTAATATGATTAGGTATACTACTACTGTCTTGCTAATCACTTTTAAGCACTATATCATGAATAATTAATTATGCTAATTATGTGATGAAATGCATGCCCCGCCCAATTCAACGACATGTGGGACATATGTCATAAGGGCGGACAGGGACGCGACATATTGGTCCATTTCATTTGTAGAACCCTATCAATGACTCTATGAATACTGAATACTGTGTGCCATCTGTTGGTGCAATGCTTACAAAAACACTATAAATTCAATAA